GCATCTTCCAGAACCCGGGCGCCACTTACGACGAGGTTCCGTCATCTGGTCGCGAACGCCCGCCAGCATGCCGTCCCCAGGCGCGAAGATTTTATGTCACGTGCCAGCCGCTCTACTCGGATAATCCGACGAGCTGCTTCTGGCGTGGCCGCAGGGTCCGCAACTTACGGTGATTTGGCGAGGCGTGCTGGTGCGGATGCTGCGCTGAATGTTACCTATCCTGGTGATTTTAAGTCTGATGAGGGGGGAGGTTCAGGATGGGTGTCATGCGAATGCTGCGGGCCAGAGCTCGCTGGGGAAGCAGGCGCTGGCGTTTTGGGGCTGAGTGGCTGGGGGGTGGGATGGGGTTGTGTTATGTCCGTCCCGGTAGTGGAGAGTGGTTGTGTATCGGTTGGTGTGGGAGTGAAGAAACGGTTTGCGGCGAGGTTGATAGGTTGCTGGTGGTGATGATACTCATTCGTGAGGTCTATGCTTTGTCGTGTGGCAGCACGGTAGCTACCTTGGTTGCAGTCGTCAATACTTTATTACGCCTTGCGGTAGACCTAGATGCGCTGGAGTACTTTGTTGGGATATTCACTCCCTACCTAGTTGCAGTATTAACGATCAAGGAGTCAGATGGTTGCTCGATGAATGAGGTTGGTAGCACTGTACCAAACAATTTCATGTCCGTTCGAAGGGCTCATAAGTACCTACATACATGTACCTCCCATCTTAAGATGCGGTCAATAGCAGTCGAGGTGCACATCGAATACTCGGCTCTGTTTGCATGCACCCAAAAGAAGCAACAATGCATTGGTTGGCGGGGACGGCGAGATGCAGCTGGACGGCAACTTGCATGCAGGCGCTGCATCACTTTGGCCATCTGGTGTCTCAGATATTAACAGGGGGTATCACATTTAGCAACGCCATGGCTAGACGAACAGCATGCTATCCACCCGCAAAACTCTCTCTCCCCTAGCCATCAAACGCGCCGCCACACACCAAACGAGATACACTGCAATGCAAATCCCTCCATTCGTGATGCCATTATGGTGACTAGTCATTTTGGTGCAGATACTGCAGCTCCGGAATATAAAATCCACACATAAAACCCGCTCAAAAACCCTTACCACCTCACAAAAAAGAAGATCCTAGCAGCCACACGACCATGCTTAGAGAGCAAGGACGGCCATGGCGACACCACTAAGCATGGCAAAAGAGCCAGCAGCGAGCGAGGCAACGCCGTTGGTGGCAATGCTCGAGGTGGAGGTCTCGGTCTGGCTGGGGCTCTCCGAGATGACGCTGGTGGTAATGGTGGACGAGGGGCTGGCCGTGGTGGACAGGTTGCCATGGACGGTGGACGAGACGATGGTGGACGAGGGAACCGCCACGGTGGTGGTGCTGGTGACGGACTTGGTGTTGGCAGTCTTGGTCGAGGCCTTGGTGGTGGTCGTCGTGGTCTCGGAGTCGTCGTCGGTGGCGGTAGGGGTGGCAGTGGCAGTGGGCTCAGCCGAGCTCTCGCTGCCGCTCTCGTCGGGGACGATCTGGAAGGGGAAGCCGTACTGGAAGACGCTGGCGTCGGACTCCAGGGTGATCATGATGCCGTACGTCGCGAGGTCGCCCAGGGTGGAGGGCACGCTCCAGCTGTAGGTGCCATCCTCGCCATCGACACCCTCTGTTTAGCGCAAGCGTGGTTAGTGGCGTTGTTCTTCTTCAACAGAGTGCACGGACATGTCTTACTCGCGATGGTGTCAACGACAGATAGAGTCTGGGGAGAGGCTCCACCAAGCAGGCCGATCGTGATCTCACCGGGGTGGGCGGCACTGGGCTGCCACACGATCTCATACGTCGATCCGGCAGGGACCTTCTCGCCCTTTACGGGCTTGGTAATGACGTTGAAACCTTCGGTTTGAGCCATGACGGCGGTCGCAAAAGCGAAAAGGGCGGTGATGGAGAAGCGCATCTTTGCTGTTTTGGGACGGTTACACAACAACGGTGATCTGCAGAAAGAAGGAGGGACGACGGTCGATAAAAGAGCGACTAGAATTGATTTAAAGAGTGACTGGATTTTAAAAGAATGACTTGCGGCTGAGCACCACGATTTTAACAGGCAGAGACGCGTTGGAGGGTGGAAGAGAAAAAAGAAGTGGGAGAGGGGGGGGAGGTCGGCGGTTTTCAGTGCAACCAAGCCTCAAGCTGACTTGTGCGTGCATGCTTGGATTGCATGGGATGGCATGGGGATGGCATGCTGCTGCGCCTTTTGGATAAAATGACACGGGGGTCGGCTCCTCCTCGAATCTCTCGCAGAGTCGACCCTTCTGGCACCCAGCCGTTGCCTGTTCGCACCAACACGCCAAGCTCATTGGCCGGATCTCCAGCCGATACCGACGATACCCCTGGCGCATTCGGCGCCTTCATTTCTCCTGCCATTCCTTGCCATGGCACGAGTTGATGGTTTGCCCGGTCCACAAGGCACGCACCATCCAATGTTGCCATCGAGACCCCCGGCTTTTAGTGGGTCGTCCAGGCTTTCTCAGGGGCAAGAGCCAATCAAGACGAGCCTCGAGTGCGCTTCGGTGCAGGAACCCGCTCGGATCCTCGCCCGTTGCGCGCCTGTCACTTCATCAAGCCCAGGAGTCCGCTCGCGCAACCCACAAAACTTGAAAAAAAGAAGCACTCGGAAATCGGCAAGTCAGCAAGTCCTCCACCGGGTTGTCTTGGTTGCCAAAAATGGATTGCTCCGACCACACCATGTCCCTTTTCAATGACAAAAACCATAATGCGCTAGGCGAAGCAAGGCCTAGCCCAGAACTCCAGAATCCTTCAGCCGCAGTGCTGGGCATCACTGATTCGTGCTGCTGACTCCCTCCCGAAGAAACTCAGAGCCAAGCAGCGACAAGCAGTGCAACCGGCTTCTCCAGATGACAAGCCACCATCAACCAGTCTCACCATGCAGCCCTATGAGAGAGGCGCAAGGACGTCGGACTGAGTATCGGGGTCGTCTCAATCGAGCAACAGCCGTCGGAGCAACCGAGTGCATTTCTCAGCAGACCTATCCAAGTGGTTCTCGACCCAACCAACTCAGACCGACGTGTCGCATCTCACGGGGCAATTTCCTAGCCGAGCACCTGCCCACCCGCGCACAAGTTCTCTGCAGCCCGCTTCGAGCGGTGATTGCTGGACAAGCGACGACCATTGAGAGCACCTTTTTATTGGATTTTTCGATTTGGACCTCATCAACAACCAACACACAGCCACACAACATCACTTAACCCCCTTTCGGGCCCACATCGTTTTCTCCCCAGACTTCACCCGGAATACTGGCTTGGTCAACCTCTTCACGATAATGTTAACCCTCCCAGGTGTAGCTACCGCCCATGTTGAGCAGCCAGATCAGACTGTTGAACTCGACATCCAAGCTCTTGATCTGCCACCAACCCTCACGCTTGGTCGTCCCGATGAGAGTAATCCCACGGCTGGGCTGGTTGGCCGCGCCAAACGTGGCATGCCAGCGCAGCCCGATGGCCTCGCAGTCAACGGCATCGATGTTGTCGACCTCGACAGGGAACGGGGGGTTTGACAATTGCTAATGAACCAACAGCGTCAGCCACGCCATTTCGAGCTGCAGCTCCGCGAATCGCCAACCGAAAATGCCTCGGAGCATCATGACGTACCGCCTCCATGAAGATCTCCTTGGTCGCAAACGTCGGCTCGCCCAACGGCCGGTGGATGAAAGTGTTGATGCTGTCGGACCGGTCGACGAAATCCGAGGCGCAGTACTTTTCGGCGTCTTCCGGCGTGTAGTTGGCGATGAGCCGCTTGTAGATCTCGACAATCTCTGCGGCTTCCTCGCGAGTCATGCACTCCTTGTCCTCGCGCGGGGCGACCGATCCAACGGAGGAGGGGAGCGCGAGCGCCAAGCTGGCGAAGGCGGTGACGGCGAGAGTCGAAAAGCGCATGTTGTCCGTGATGAGTAGACTTGGTGTTGATGGCAAGGTTTGTTGGTGGACTCATCCAACAGCCTTTCTCTCACGCCTCGACCATGCCCGTACTTATACGTTCCTCCCACCGGACTTCGTCGACATCCATTTTTAGGCCCGTGATGTGAACCGGGCCATTTTGAAGCCCAAACCCATTTCCCCCAACCTTCAGATTGGGAGCTGAATTTATCCAGCTAACTCCGGTTCGGAACTTAATAACGAACTGACGGACGTCCGGTCGACCACGCTTGACCTGTGGTTCACCATCGCGGAGTTACTGAGAACGAACGCGTGTGTCGGGGGCTCCGGTTACCGTTGTCACATTTTGTGATGCCCTGGTGGCGGCTGTCCGGGCGGCTCGGACCCGAGCCGCCCTCCCCCTCATCAATCTGTTCCTGCAGCTCGATAAAGCCATGGAGAGACGATTTTAATTCCTGTCCAAAATATGCCATTAGATGATCAATTGCGAGAGACAGGTGTGGTTCATAGTCACCCTCTGTCCCCGGCAATGCTCTGGCATCGTTCCTCCTCCCCGATAGAGCCTTGGCCTGATAGTCAAAAATAGGTACATCGACGAGTGCCAATTAGCAAAGAAGCTCTCCTTGGATGCACCTTGGAGACCTGGCCGACCGCCCAAAAGCCTTCGCTTGGCCCGGACGGAAGGCCGTCCTCGCCAAAGCTGTGCTCGTAAACTATCACGTGATACCCTTTAGCATCACCAGCCGGCTCGCGGTTGACTCACGGGCCAGTTACGAAAAGCCCTTGCTAGATACTCACTCCATTTCCCCTCCCCTTTTACATTGTGCTCTTTGCGTCCGACATGCTCACGTTTCTCGGCAGAGCGTATGTATATCCCCCCTGGATATCCTTGCGTCGAGTTTGATGACATGGTGGCTAAGTTTGCTGACTTATTCATTACTTAAGCTCAGCACGAACGATGCGAGTCTCGAGAAGGTATGAATCGAGAGAAGAAATCAATAATTAGGTAAAGCTAGAGGAGAAAAACAATAGCTACGGAGATTACATCCTAGTTGAGACGAGATTATATAACTCCATGATTGCAATACAAACCTATACCATCCAAGCCTGATATTTTACTGCCTCGGCAGAACTGGTCAAACCGCATGTCTCCTTTCTTCAATATTTTTTCTGAGCTCTTAGATGCACGCCTGAGAAATTCAATCGTGTCCTTTGTGGTCGAGTCTCAGCTACCTATTGGTATACTAAACATGTATGAGCATGGCCAGAACTGTGCTGGGGTTTCGTGCTTTATTCGACCGCCTAGTTGCAATGGCAATACCAGTGGGCATATTTATGTACCCAAATATGAAAACTGATGCTTGAAGTTGAATTGTGCGTTGTGTTAGAGAGTCTGTCGGCCTTGCAGTTGTTAGTGGACCAAGACCCGGCCCCACGCCCGGGGAGCTCCGGTAATCAACCCAGGAACTTTTCGCTAAGACAATAATAGGTAAGACAATACTAGGGTGAACCAAAGTTCTTCCTTTTATTGGCATCAAATTAGCGCTTGTATGCAACTTGAAACTGTCTCGGGTTGAAGCACAATTACCTCAGCAGCTAGTTACATGCCTGTCCAGAAGGAGAAGTAACATCACAGATAGTTATGGTGTGATATAGGTAATTCGGCAGTTTGACTTCAAAAAGGAACACGCCCTTGGGCCCAATAAGACAACCTTCCATCTTTTAGTTACTTCCCATTGACAACTTAGCGAAGGAGAACAAAAGGAAGAAAAGATGGTGATAATGATTACATAAGCATCTAGGGAGCTCGGACATGAACAGATCAACAAACTTCCAGATCGAGTCGTCATCTCACTCATCCCCACGGCTCAGCACGTCGTATATTCCGTCACGCCGCATTCCCATCATTGCCCGCCGACTACTACTACCCAATCAAGCAAGGGTTTTATCTTTGGCTTCCAATATCACTCCAGTCCGGCGTATGTCATGTCATCTTGAGACTTGAACTCGAGAAAACGAAAGGAGCCAACCTCGGAAAGCCTGATTGGAACTGCCCATGCTTTTAGAAGCCTCCCTAGAACTCCAGGAGCAAGATGGGTCTTGCACTATCTCGCCCAGCTGCGGCCGCAGCATTGCCCACGCCGCTCCCAACTCTCACAATTCGTAATCTTACCGTCACTCTGCTGGAGCTTAAGCTGGTCGAGCGTCTGGAATCTCATGCGCATCCGCACTTACACAAGGCAAAAGGGCTGGTCAAAGTTTCGTCTCACGCTACCAACCCTGAGGATTCCCATGAACCCGATGCACCTCTCCCTTCTGCAGCAACCGTGCAACATGAGGAGCCGCCACCACCGTCAAAGCACGACATTACCGGTGTGACCATCTCTCCCTTTGCAGAATGCCACACCTCCGTTTATGCTCCAGACCCAGCCAGGCATGAGCACCTCCATCTCACCTTTGAGGATCCCGCCACTGGGCACCTCTACAGCGCCGAAATCCCGGCCGCGTCACGGCGGAGCATAGTCCTCAAAGCGCTCCCCAGAGACGCAGAGGAAGAAGAAGAAGAAACCAAAGAGTTCACGGCCATCTACCTGCCGCAGCACGCGCACCTGGCGCTCTTCAGCTCGGCCAACCTCGCCTCCTGGATGTCGACGCTGGACGACGCGCTGCCCCTCTCGGCCCTCTCCATCCCCGGCACGCACAACTCGCCCACCTGTCACGTCGCCCTGCCCTCGGTGCGCTGCCAGGCCGTGCCCGTCCTCGACCAGCTCCACAACGGCGTGCGCTTCCTCGACGTGCGCGTCTCCTGCCCCGTCTACACCCCGCCCCCGCCCCCGCCCTCCAGCAACAGCAACAGCAACAGCACCGCCACCAAACCCCCAATCCCCGAGCTCAGCCTCGTCCACTCCGCCTTCCCCATCTCCCTCACCGGCCCCAAATACCTCTCCACCCTCCTCAGCACCCTCCACACCTTTCCTCGAAGCCCACCCCTCCGAAACCATCCTCCTCTCCCTCAAACGCGAGGGCACCGGCCGAGGCAGCGACGCCGACCTCGCCCAGATCCTGCACACCTACTACATCAACAACCACCACCATCATCCCCACCACCACCAAAATGCCCCACGATGGTACACCTCCCCGCACCTACCCACCCTCGCCCAAGCCCGCGGCCGCATCGTCCTCATCCGCCGCTTCCGCCTGCCCCGCAACACCCCAGCCTCCGAATGGGGAGTAGAAGGAGCAGAACGAGGAGGAGTAGTAGGCGTCGGAGGGGGCGGCATCGACGGATCGGTGTGGCCGGACAATGTGGCGGACGGGACGTGCGGGAGCGGGACGATCCGGATCCAGGACTACTACGGCATTAGCAACGGCGGGGAGATCCGGCAGAAGGTGCGGTTTGCGCAGGAGGGGCTGCAGAGGGCGGCGGCTGCTGCTACTGCTGCTGCTGTCCAGGGGGTGGGGGCGCGTCGTGCTGGTGATAATGGTGGGAAGGCGGCACCGCTCTTTATCAATTTTCTGAGTGCGAGCAACTTCTTCAATGCCAGTTGCTGGCCGGATCGGATCGCCGTCAAAATCAATCCGTCCATGATCGAGTATTTGTGTATGGGGCACGGGGCGCCGGGGAAGGGGCCCGCTGAGTTGGAGATCGGGGATGTCGCTACGGGGATTGTGGTGACGGATTGGGTCGGCCATCATGGAGATTGGGACCTTGTGCGGTGCATCGTGGGATGGAACGCCAGGTTGCAGCTACGGCAGTAGGGTGCCCAGTTTCTTATGTGCGTTACGTCACGGTCACTTGCGAGATGGACATTGAAGTGTGAGATAATGTGTAATATTCTGCTGAAAGACAGTGCATGGCTACTAGAGCATAATAGACTAGAATACCGGGACCGTACCAACGGTAAAGCAGACAGACCTGGACTGACAGCGAGTTAGCATGACCCTCAACTCATGGCTCGCAAGAATAACGGTGTTGACACCTCATCAGTTCTCCAAGGTGAAGTTGTCTCGTCACGATGAACTCAGAGTCTAATTAAAACAGGTAGGAAAGAAATCATCATGGAGGTATGTGGTACAAAGAAAAATGTTCAACTTACATTTGTGTCTAAACGACAGATCAAGATGCTCGACAGTTACCTGGCCAGCAAAGTGGTCAGCAAATGAACGCAACCGTTGCGGTACAGACATCGTAAACAGATATCAAGTTCAGTCTGCCAGGGATGTTAGCGTTTGGGTCGGCGTCGCCTTCAACCGAATCGAACGTACCTCATTAAATCAGATTTTGTTTAGTGTTCATTTCCACCCGAAGGTAGATCAAACAGTGTGAATAAAGATCATCATGCAAATGGTTCTTGAACAAGCCGGTGGGAGAGTGTATTACCTGACGGGGAAAAGTCAGTTAAATCCTTGATCCGTCAAGCGCTCATCGAGTCGATGGGCAAGGGCACAATCAGGTGACGAGTTCTCAACAAGAATTTCTCTCCAAACCCCCCCTCACAGGATGTACAGTCCTGCTTTTGATGAGGGGAGGCGGAGAGGCTTCGTTTATGTCCGCCCGTTCGTTCAAACTTTCGTCATAGTGCCAGGAGATGGAAGAAGCAGTTTAAGCATACCTGCGGTTGCTTGTTAGCGCGCTGATGCAGACACAAAACAATAAACAACCGAGAGGTAAGAGTCCAAATCAGACAAGGCTGAAACAAGTGGTTCCACATATTGTATTCGGCATGAGGAATTCCCTATAATTGTACATTGATCATCACTTGGAGGGGAGGAAATAATAAAAATCGACTAACCTTTTGAGAAGAGAGTGCCGAATAATGTGAAACAGCAAGTGGCGCGTTCAAGTTGGTCAACACTGGATGGACGCGTTAGCAAAGGTCAGAAAAACCAGACCCAGACAAGTCGCTCCAAATTGTGCTCTCAGCGGAATTGTTGTCCCCACGGGCTGGTCGGAGTTGGATTGTTCGATATTGGATAGGTAATCATCACGGAAGCTGTGCAGCGGAATGAGAAAAGTGATTGCTTACCTTGTCGACCGACGATTTGCGCGTGTTGGAGGAATTGGAATTGGAAAGCTGTGGGAGCTTGGGAAAAATTTGGACCATAAAAAGGCTTGGGGTGTGGGGTGTGATAAGATAGGTCGGGTAACCCACTTTTCTGTTCTGCTTTCGGTCGCTCTGTTCGTGGTATTCATACTGTGTAGCGCTTGTGGCGATAAGCTTATCGATAGCCAACCCTCCCGATAAGTTCCCGAGTGCTCCCGCGGCTGGCTCCCTCCCAGTGGTTGCCTCTTGCATCCCATTCACCTTCAAGCCTCTCCAGGCTCTGGGACTCAACGACTTGCCAAACCAGCACCATGTCTCCCACAGCGGGGATGTGGGCTCCCGCGGCCTTGCGCATGCTACGCATGCACTTGGTTAGCAACACGAGAATGGCGACCAAAATGCTGCGTTCCAAGCTAGCAGCGGTTACGCGGCCTCTCAACGCCGAACTTCAACCCATCGCCGTCCGCACCGGCAACGCCCGCCAGCCAGTCCATCCTGCGGCATGGCTGCGCCAGCAAAAGCGATCCGGCGGCGCCAAATGGTACTCGTCTTCTAACTTCAACGCTACCGTCCGCCGCTTCATCAGCACCGGCGGCCACAGCGGTTCGAAGCCCGGCTTCCGCCTCGACCGCTCCAAGCTCCCGACCTCGACCATCTCCCGCGCCGTCAATCAATTCACGGGCCGCGCTCCCTTTGCGTCGACTCTCCGCCCGAACCTCACCGGCGGCACTCTCGGTCGCACGGCAGGCGGCTATGGCATCCCGGGCGCTGGTCGCATCGGCGGAGCTCGCCACTTTAGCCATACCCCCGCCGCTCCGGCACAAGTCATCCAGAACGTCAGCCAGGCGATGCGCGCTTTCTGGCTCTCGGGCCACCGAGCCCAGTTCAGCGGCATGGGCCCCAACGGCGAGAAGCAATACCGCGCTATTAGCGCCACACAAAGCGACGCGCGGATGACGATGGCCAAGGCGATGATGGTTCACCGCCCTATGCCGGGTGCTTTTATCGACTTCAAAATCAGCCCCACCGTTACCGCGCTCAGCTCGCTCGGCGTGATGATGCCCTTCATGAGCGTGGAGGAGCAGGTTGCCGCCGGCGCGACGCTTAACGCCGAGGGTTTCCTTGACGTCCTTTCCGTGGACTTTGCCCGCGCGCTCAAAGACTTAGCGGCCATCATGACAGACTTGAAGTCTCTAGCTGGGTTGGGGGATCTTCCTATCTTCTTGGAGAAGAGCAATGTTTTGAGGGTACGGTTCCCCGGCATGGACGCTGAGTCAGTCGAGCGGCTGTGCGACGATGTTGGTGTCAAAAGGGGGGTGGTTGGCCAAGATCCTGGCTTTGATACCAACCCTGCCGTTGACGTCGCGCTGCGCTTCCCGTTCGCGCCGGATGCCAAGGGCGAGGACACCATCACCTCGCCCGGGGGCTCTCTCCGGTCGCACCGCTCCGGAACATCGTCGCTCTCTTCCGGCGTCGAGGACGCGTTTATCGTGGAGGAATTCGAGGAGAACCCATGGCGTGTTTCTTCGGGTTCGGAGCTCGAGGGCTATGAAAGCATGTCGCCGCCGATCCTGAGCAGCTCGGGAGAGCATTGTTCGGAGGAATTTGAGGGGCTGGAGGGCGTGTACCGGTTTTTGGAGGAGTGCGATAATGCCAGGGGTCGTTTCCAGTGATCTGCGGAAACTCCTCTGGTAGGGTAGCGGACGTTTTGGGATAAGGGTAAGGATATGGGTATATGACTGGTATGAATCGTAGGTCGTCACTCTTTTCTTTCTTATGTAGTGTAGCCCGAGAGCATGTGCAATGGGTTATCAGTGCCCACTAGCTCGCGGTCAGTGATGCAACAGCAAACAGAATGCAATTTTGATTATACAATTTGATTCGCTCGATATTACATTATTTGTGATGTCTAGTTTCAGTGCTCGTGGCACCGTACCGCTGTTCAGAAGGGTGACTGCCCAATCTTCTCACCCACTCCTATTCCGTTGACCCCTGACTTGAACCGTCACACATCGACCAGCTTGTCAACATTCTCCGCAGCAACAACAAGTTGCCCAAAACCACCCATCACCCGCTTACCCTCCTCTCCACCGCCATCAACCACATCACCCCGATCCGGGCCCGACTCCAACTCCGCAGCAAGCCCATCCTGCATCTGCCCACCGGCGCCATCATCATGATCATCATCATCAGCAGCAGCAACAGAAACAGCAACCAGATCCTCCTCCGGGCCTCCCCACCACAGCCCCTCTCTTCACCACCCCCTTCCCGTACACCCTCTGGAGCGGGTTGATCTCCCCCCGCTTGCGCCTCGGCCTCGCATGACTACCGCCGCGGCCACCACCCGCCCGTTCCCAGCCCCAGCTCCCGAAGCAACGCCACTGTTTCTCGCAACTGGACTTTCCTGCCTCTGTTTCGGCCGCCAACGGCGGCGGCGGCGGTGGCACCACTCCCACCATTACCGGCACCACTGGCACCAGCACCGCTAGCACCACCACCCGCCGCAATATCCCCGGCATGAGTCTGGGTATGGGCGTGTGCGTGGTCCTGGGCGCGGCGGAGTGTCAGCTGGCGCGCGAGGGCGAACCGGATATCGCGCGGGTCTAGCACCCCGTCACTGCCCACGCTACCTGCGGCGGCGGCACCCGGGTCGGGCTGGCCGTGGTTGTGGTTCTGGGAGTGGCGGCCGCTGTCGATGTTGTGGTGGTGATGACGGCTCTGCTGGGCGTGTTGCGGGTGGTGTTGTTGGGGGTGTTGTTGTTGTTGGTGGTGGTGTTCCTCTTGTTGTTGCTGTCGCTGCTGCTGTTGATGATACTGATGTGGCTGACGGTGCTGATGCGGACGCAGCCGCGCGGACGGGGTAGAGTTGGACCCAACACCGGCGGCGGCGGCCATCCACCACGCGGGGATCTCGCGCAGGCCGATGGCGGCTAGCTCGGCGGTGGTCGTGGGCATGGCGTGCAGATAGCGACAGCGCACGCCCCGTTTGCAGTTGCCGTAGCGGCACCAGTGACGGCAGTAGTTAGTGTTGTTGGCGATGGTGTTGTTGCCGGGAGCCGGGTTGGTATTCGTCATGGTTGGGTGCTCAGACTGCGTCTGCGGTGGAGGCGCTTGTGGGTTGTGGATCGAAGCGGCGGTGGTGCTTGTGCTGACGGCGCCGGTATGGGTCTCGTCCTCGTGGGCTCGCGTTCGGTCTACCCGATGGGCTGTCGGTGTGGCTGTCGTAGCGGTGGCCTTCTCGTCATTGGAGGCAGAAGCAGGTGTGATAGAGGGAGGCTGAGTAGCGAGGGTAGCGACCGCATTGCTCGACTTCGCCTCTAGGTTCTTCGCAGCAGCAGCTCTCTGACGAGCTACAGGTGTGGCATGTTGGATGATTTTGACGGCGTACGGGTCCTTGCTCTTGCTGGCAATGCCCAAGTTGCAGAGGTTCACGGTTTGTTCTATCGAGAGGTTGCGCGGCGCACTAGGAATGTCGAGCCACTCCGGGAGCTCATCCGCCGCAACGAGAGGAACAATAGGGCCGGGGATAATGTAGGTTTTGCCATCGGCGTCGACCCGTTTAGTGTCGGGCCGGACAATGAAGAAGCGCGGCTGAGCAGCCATGGTGGTTTGGTCGGTAGGTGGATGTGTGGTAATGGTGTTAAGTGTGGTGGTGATCAAGAGCAGGAAGGGGAGGGAGAGTCGGAGCGTCTTAATAGATTGAAGTTGGGTTCGGCCAGACTATCCGAACCGATCGTCGTTGCCTTCACACATCGGTCCCCAATCAACAAACAATGCGGCTTTGCGCAGGCAAGACATCAATCACCTCCTCACCTTTGTCAACCAAACAAACATGACAAGATTGCACTCAATCAAAAACCACCTTTCAACAACCAGCTACCGCCTCTCAACCCTGATCCGCGCCTCCAGCCCATCAACACAATACCCAAACTGGCGCGGTCCATCCTTGAGCTCCACCTCACGCCTCACCCACCTCCCACCCCTCCCCTCCAACCCAGCCGCTTCCCCCGTAGAACCCCCCTCCTCTTCCCTCCGCTCCCACTCAGCCTCCATATCCTCCTCCTCACTCTCCCCCTCGGCCTCATCAAACCCGCCCACGGGATCCCACTCGCCCGTCTCCCACACCAGCCTCACCCTCAACGGACTCAACCCAAACACCCTCCCCACAATCCCCTTGACAGCATAAATATCAAACGACTTCGGCACCTGCACCAACCCGCCTCACCACGGTCCCCCTCGGGACAACTCCTTGGCAGAGAGAAGGCGAGGATATCTGTTCTATGCTAAAAAATTGCGCAGAGGGCGGTTC